CACTGGATAGTGGTAATGGAGGATATATTTGGACACCATACAATCTAAATACACTTCTGCCATGTTCCATCGTTATTAGACATCCAGAAAATAAATTTTACATGCATAAAAAATAACAAAAAAAAAACATGTAAGTGCTTAAACTATGCTGCAGCTATATTATGTTTGTAGCACAAAAAGCCATGAACATGGGTGCTGTAAAGCGTCCGGAACGTGGTAAATGATTAAGTTTAAAGCGAAACGTTATTAAATTCTTAAAATCACTTATTTTTTAGGAGTGATATCAACAAACTGCTCGAGAAGAGTGTGTGGACATATTTTTAATCACAAATAATATTAACGGCCTGCAACACACACTAATTTGTACGTGGTAGAGCCACGGTGTAGCTACTCGTACATTATGGTTGTAGCACGGATGGGTTGGCGTGACCGGGGTAGCAGCTTAATATTGCTGTGCTACGTATGGTGAGTATAGACAACCAGATACGATTTTTACTGGAAACGAGACATTCCATCTCAGTCCACAGGAGTGACAACGCATCTGAATTTTTAATTCTTAATTGAGAATCAATGTAGATGTCTATGGGCCACAACATCTACTTACTCTCAGGTGGAGAGTGTACTCGTTTGTCACCCTTATTTTATAAAAAAATCTGCAGTTCCACTGGTGTTGCAGTTAATGACAAGCTATGGTCGACACTTATACCACCAGGGTGAGCCGTATGCTATTCTATAAAAAAAAGTATTAGCCTACATACTCACTGTTAGAGACATGTCTTGTCTCGTTTTTAAGAAGCTAATGGGAAATTCTATTCTTACACCGCCACTATACAGTTCACTTACTTTACATCCTTTGAAATAATAAAAATTACTTAGATTCAACATGAATCAGACAGAATGTTGCTGTAGTTTAAACTAAGTCATTCATGATAGCTGCAGCTCAATTTCGTTTCTTTCCCTTGTTTTAATTTTAGTCTTGAATTTATTGTGCTGTATTCTGTCGTAGTTCCGAATAAATATACATTTTTTCTTTCTTTAGACGTGCAATTTCCTCGCGATATTTTACCAATTAAACAATAATTCTGTATTGGTTCTGAAAGGGATCGAAGAATGTTTCCTTGTAAACTATGAAACTTTAAGGTTAATGATGATTCCCTGAGCCACCACGGCTACGAATACAATATTTTATTTTCTTTTGACTCACATAATACTTTTCAATATTTTTTAATTAAATAAGCTTAACAAACGAGCACACAGTCCACATGACGCTAAGTGGAAGTTGTGACCCATAAACATTTACATCTATCCTCGATTAAGAATAAAAATGCAGATGCGCTGCCACCCCTGAGGACTATGATGGATAGCCTCTTTCCAGTAACAGGGGTCTCCGGTTCTCTACACTCATCATACGAAACACATTTTGAACTTGGTAGCCATGCTGCAATTATATTAGTAGTGTAGTTGTAGCACGAGTGGGTCGGCTCGACCGGGGAACTCGCTCTCACAGAATAACAGCGTAAAATTTTAGCTTAATGCTGCTGTGTTTCGTATAGTGAGTGTAGAGAACCGGAGACCCATTTTACTATAAACGAAGCATTTCATCATAGTCCTCAAGGGTGACAACGCATCTGCATTTCGATTCGTAATCGAGGATAGATGTAGATGTCTATGGGCCACAGCAACCACTTACCATCAGGTGGACTGTGTGCTAGTTTGTCACCCTATCCTATAAAAAAATACACCAGCATTAAGCTGCTACTTTAAGCCGGTATTCTGTGAGAGCCTAATCCTACCCCGGTCGAGCTAACCCACCCGTGCTACAATTTATATACCAGCAGCGTGGCTCTACCACTTATAATAACGTCAGTGAGAACGTTGTAATTATACCAAGCCCTCACTTTATCTAGACAAAGACATGTAAATATGTAAAAAATTATATAAAAATAAAATCAACAGGTACCTGTTATACTGCTATATACATCGGTACCGCGAAATTAAGAGGTGGGTGTCTCACTAAGCTTAAACACTGCCCTCGCGTTGGGCGGGCGGCTGTTACTTCACCGCCCTGCCTCAAATAAAAGGGAGATCTCAGTCGGAAGCTCGCATCAGTTGCGCGAAATATCGCAAACTGGCAACATCGAAGTGCAAATCTCGTGCTAACAATTTGAGAAGCATATTTTAAATATTGCTGGTTCCTGAAATTTCAAAATGGAGTCTACAATCGCAAAAGGTAATTTTTGGATAAATTATAGTTGCCGTTCTTTGTTCCCTTTTTTGATTTTAAATTTAAATTCTTTCTTATTAAACATTTTTTAATGTTTATTTAAAAGTGCTTGTAAAACTCTGTACGTTAAAAAAGCAGATTTTTGAATTTGCGAGGTTTATTGAAAATAATATGACATTATAATTATAAATTACTTCTTTAAAAATTATTAATGTCCATTTGTTTTATTACGGTATAATCACCGAAATCTGAAGGGAAATAAAATGACACAAAACATAAGCAAAGACAATAGAGCACCAAAGCGACCATCTATAAAAGTTTCACTTCCGGTGGAATTGTATGTATCTTAAGCTTTATATTACAACGACAATTCACGTTTTCTTTTTTTGTACAATAGAAAAAATTTTATTCTAATTTTTATTCTATTACATAATAAAAAAACACGTGATAATATATTTCATCTATATGTAGTTATGAGAGTTAATTTTTACGTATGGTTTTTTTTTGTATTGTAAAATTTCTATTACAAACTTTTGAAGGATTGATGGATTGAAGTCATTTTTAAAAAAAAATTTTGTTAGTAGATGCTTCGCTTATCGGAAAGAGCCGAACAACATATCTGAGGTCCGGGTCTGCTAGTTATGTATAGAAAAGAATAAAATAGAATAGAATAGAAATGATAGAAGAGGAAATGAAATTGTATGTATTTTTATATATAGGCTGGTTCTTGACTACAATCTACTGATAAAATACTAAACGATAAATTGCTAAACTAATTATGAACTGTCTTATTGTAACAAGAGCCCTAATGTTTACTAATTATTTTTTCTGGGATTTATGTAACTTAATATACCTACTGTTATTGCAAAATGGAATAAAAATATAGTTCTATTTATTTAATTGTTTATTTATTTCTTTATTTTGCATAAGGTGCGTGTTTTACAGTTGTTTTAAAAAATGGTACAACAAATTAACCATTTCTGGTTTAAAATGATTGAAATTTAAAAACATTGAGTATTATTAAGTACATTATAAATTAAAATTACAAAAAAATATAGACATTGCATAATAATTAACCAAAACAAACATAAACATAAACTAGAAATTGACCCTATAAAACAAAAACGTTTACTACTGTTTGCACTATTACATCATTAATATTTATATTTTCATGTCGTATGTATTAATTATTAAAATATTTTTATTTCAACTAAATTATCCAAAATTATACGATATTGTATTTCCAACAACTCACTAACCGAATAATAAGATTTAATAAATAGCCACTTTTTCAACTCGTTCCCGAAACGCTTTATGTTACTGGTTATTGCGTTTAAATACTTTAATGCACATTGCATAACAATTCTTATGGTAATTAACCGTTTTTGGTATTTCATCAATGACTAATTTATCTGAATGCCTGAAAGGTTTAGATTTGATAATATCTCCAGCAATTGTAAACAGCTCAGGGTTATTTTTCACAAATTTTGCTGTTTCGAGGATATATATGCATAGAAGTGTAAGCACTTTTAAATTTCTAAATAATAGTTTGCACGACTCATGATATACATATTGCCCATATTACATATTGCACGTAGAATTTTTTTTACACAATGAAAACTTTATTGATGTCTATAGAATTTCCCCGTTTTAGGTATTATACCGTAGCTAAGTAAACAATAAACGTATCCGTAATACGCCATAAGAGCTGTTGATTGCGATGCCGTTTTTTAAGGTTCCGTAATACGTAAATAAAGCGGTTAAGTTTATTAAATACTTTACATAATTATAACGCCTCGCACCAGTAAAGCTCGATAAAGTGTGGGCGGCCTCCCACTAGATCGAGTGGCGACCTGGTAAGACATGCAGGAAGTCAATGGATGCAGATGGTTCAGGACCGTGCTATGTGGCATTCTTTGTGGAAGGCCTATGCTAGCAGTGGTCTTATGAAGGGCTGCAATGATAGTATGAAAAACATGATTTGGGGTACTTGAAGTGGTATATATTTCTTCCGTTGTTACAGATATCACAAAATAAATAACCGCATGCAGTCTTACAGTATACATTCAAAAGTATTTCCCCAAACATCTAGATTTCTAGAAACCGGAGAAACAGGTTAATGATTCAGTGCTAACAACTTCATATACATTTTATAATTTTTTCAAAACTTATCTAACTCCGAAATTTGAAAATATGTACAATTTAACACAAAATTATATAGACAGTAAATATAGAAACCAATCACAGCCAAATTTAGAAGCAAATTCATTTGGCAATACAGAAAATGTAGAAGCCAAAATAAAAGTCGAAGAAGATGAAACTTTGAACCAAAACCGTCCTTATGATAATTTTAATAGTGAAAAGACAGAGATTATATTTAATTTTGATGATAATCAAGAAAATTTCAATTTGAATAATATAAAAATTATCACATTGAAGCTACTTTTAAATAGACCCGTCGATAATGAAGAACATAAATCAATAAAAAAGGCTGTTTCCAGCATTATTTTAACACTCAACAATAAAAATAACGAAAAAAGATCAGTAAACACACAAACTGATGAAGCCTCAGTTATTTCTCTTGAGGAATACAATGTCTTTAAAATTATGATAAGAAATAAAATTATGAAAGTTTTATCACACATGACACAGAAAAACTCCAATGGTAATTTGGTTAATAACTATTCGCAAAACACTACGAATGAAAATATATTGAAATTTGACAAAATCATTTGAAGCAGTTGTCAAACAATCAGAAAAAAACAAATCAATAATCATGGGTGTATATAACTCCATTATTAAAGAAATGCTACATCCTGCAATCGAAAATGAAGAAAATATGAAGACCATTTTTAATAAAACATTTACTTTGGTATCAGAGTTTATTAGTGAAATTTTGAATAATGAAATGCCAAATTTTACAATTAACTCACCAGATGAGAGATCTTTCACTGGTGTCAACAAAATTAATATCAAAATTGATATGAATGATGAAACGAGGCTTTTATTATCTCAACATATTAAACAGCTTCAGGATTTTCGACAAAACCAACAAATCGGGTATGAATTTTCCACTCAACAGCAACACGAAGAACCACAATTTAGAATGCAGCAATCTAACAACAGATATGCGCAAGTTCAAAGCGTAGGAACGTACAACACGAACAACTGGCCTAGGGTATGCAAATACTATTAAATTTCATTTTGCCTAATTCATAAGTAAAACTTTACAAAATGTATTAATTACACGTAAATACATGCATCTTTATGAATTTAAATATTTAGGTATATTTCACATATTTTTTATTTTATAGATTATAGTAAATCTTAATCAGAAATTAAATTTCAAATTGAAAAGGTATTTCTTTCTTAATTATAATATACGAATATAATTTTCTTTATAAATCTATTTTATTTTTGTAGGGTCATAACCCAGTGCCTGCAAACGTTCAAGTCCCTACACTGAAACAAACTACACCAAATCAGAGTCACCACGCAGCCGTTCCCCGTCCAAAAGGTCTTGGAGACTTGGCAGGTAACCATAACAATTATAATAATCAACGACAACATCCGTATCGCAATCAAAACCACAATCTAACTAGGCCTCCACGCGCTCAGGGTCATTATGATTCCAACAACAATGTCATCACATTACATCATCAACAACAACTATTACAACAGAACGCTATGCTGGTGCAACGAAATAATAACTGGCAACAAGATGCCGCTAGCCACAAGCAGCATATTATACCACATAGTTTTTAAGCGCTTTTATTACATACAATTATATATTTCAAATATCTATTTCCTTTTGTTTCCTTTATTTGTACGTAGTGAATTGTGTCAATTTTATTTTAATTTCAAATATTATAATAATTTATAAAATTTATATCCGATTTTTGTGTCTGTTTCTGTTGTCGAAATATCGAATTTTGTAATAATTTACCTTCAAGAAGTTATAGATGTGATGTTACGTAAGTATGTACGTGTTGATGTTAAAAATAGTGTTAAAAAACTAAAAACATAATAAAATGTAAAAAAAATTGATATTGTGAATAGTATTAGCTTTTATCATTAAATATAATACTTTTAAAATAAATGTTGTTGCACTTTCCTGTTACATATGAAAACACAATTACATGTATCGACATTCGTAGGTATATGGTTTAAATCCTATCAAAACACGTCCAGTATAAGTCAAATAATAAAAATATTGATATTTGTGTGCTACTTTCTATTTTAAATTGCCAGGGTGGGTGGATATTTAAGACTAAAAAAAAGTTATACTTAGTTAAAAGAAGTATATAAATTTAAGACCAGTGATAAAATAATTCATACATTATATTATTTTTTATGATTTGTAGTGGCGGCGTATATTAATCCACTACGCCATATTGTAAAAGACGACACAGGAAAATTAAATACGAGGTGGACAGCAGCCTTTTTCCGGTAACAACTCAAAATAATAAAAAACTGCGATTGCCAACCTGCCAGCCAATTGTGGCAGATATGGCAATCTGACTCCTCGAACCTCCTTATGAGGCAATTTATGGAGGAGGTCTATATTCGACGATGGATTTTTGATAGGTTGTAGTAAATGAATTAATGAATTTTCTTATTTAAGATAGGATTAAGTTTTCCAATGGCTGGATATAGACCACATTAAATTTTTATATAGGCTTACTATGTATATATATATATATATATATATATATATATATATATATATATATATATATATATATATGCTTTGATGTAGACGAGTGTAATTAGTGTTTGTGATATGAATATAATGTCACCGTACTTTTCAGAATTTACAAGATTTTCAAGTTTCTTCTACTTTCCTTTGCTAAGAAACCTGTGATAGCTGATTCTACTGCTTTCGCCGAACCGGTGCTAGGTACTACATCCCCGTGTAGATAGAACCCGGGTCCTGAATTAGGGAAAGGTGCTCTTCAACAGTCATTATTCTGTAATATTTATTACCTTTTCTCGAAAATTATCCAGTTTTTCTGAAGAGAGCTTCTTAATAGACTTGAGTAAATTTTTACTTTTTAAGTGGTAGGCTTTTAACATTTGTATAACTCATGTTTAAGTTATAGTCGGAATAGACACAGTTTGCCAGATATTTACAACTCTAGGTGCCATAATATCTCCTATTTGTGAAAATATTGGCTCTTTCACAGTTTCCAGTTACAATTTTAGTTGATATCTGGTACATATTCTATATATAGCAAATAGCCTTACACTTTATCACCGGTAATTATATCCTCTGTAATTTGTTTGACAAGAAGAAATCGCTTTTAAGCGATAAGGACAAGATGTCTTAATTTTATTTTATTTTTCATGTTTAATTGGTGTACAATAAAGGATGTTTAATTAATTCATACAATAAGCTTAAGCAGCAATACAAAATTATTTTCTTTTGCTTATACATTATAGTCTTATTATAAAAATTGGTTTATATTATAATTTTTCTTGTCTGTTTTGAATAAGAAGAAGGACAGGAAGACATGGGAACTATGCAAATTAAAATTTATGGTATAGAATTTGATATTTCGCTAAGCGACTTCTTTCGTGACCGAAACTCTTCTATAAATCAGACAGATTCAATCAATAAGTCACGTTTTGTATTTGGACCGTATAAGTTCATTATTATTCATTTTACGTTTAATTTAATTTATAAAAAAAAAATCAATTCATATCTGGTTTAACCAAAACCAGTTAGTTTAAACGAGTAGTCCAACTAACATGTATATGCATCACCAAATGTATGCATCAACATACATAATAATAATGTATATAGATGCATAGATTTAAGAATCACATATGCAGTATTTAAAGGTATTTTAACAATAAAATATTCATTAAAAAATAGATATAGGTACTTGTTACGACAGTAGATTAAAGTTTAGCGTGTAGGATGAAAATAAATATATTCAAGCAAAACGATGTGATATACTCAGTAGTTCTGTAAAGTAAAAGTTATTCTAAAATTTGCTTGTACATAATATGTATGTTTGCTGCGTATTGTATATTAATTTTGTTGCACTTTTTAAACTTTCATCATTATATTCGAAATTTCATCATCATTTTCAACATAAAATTATTATTAGTTAAGAAATTATATAGTAAATGGGGCCCTACACTCTATTGTGAAGAGTCAAAATGTGTCGAAAAAGGCACGTATGGCAATTCACAATGCTGTGTTGGTCCCTACTTTAACGTATGGTAGTGAAAGTTGGGTGTGGCAGAAGCAGCACTAGAGTAGAATGAACGTAGTAGAAATGCGGTCGTTAACGAGTATGTTAGGGCTGAATCTGAATGACAGGGTGTGAAATTGTGTGACAAGAGAAGAGTGTGGTTTGCAAAATGATGTTGTGACCAGGATTAAGAAAGGAATTCTTTGGTGGTTTGGTCATATGGAAAGAATGAATGAGGAAAGAATGACAAAGAAAATTTATGTTGCAGAAGTGAATGTTAGAGTCTGAAAGAGACGTCCTACGCGGAAATTTATCGACCAAATTGGCAACTTATTGAAAACGGGCCAAATTAGGAGCTTAACCGACGAGCATGTATGCGTAGGTATATGGATGTGAAGGAGGCGAGAGAGGTGTGTCAGGATCGTGCCAAATGGAAGTCTGTAGTCTCTGCCTACTCCTCTGGGTGACAGGCGTGAGTGCTTATGTACTATGTATGTACATATATAATATAACTATAATATGCAATATTATTCTTTTCTGATGAGAGAACTCATGTTTTGTTAAACTATATTTTAAATATATCAGAAATGTCATTAATAATACAAAAATTAGCACTGCGACGAAAATGTTAAACGATTAATTTATGTAAGTATTAATAAAAAAGTTCCTTTGATACAAACCAATGATTTTAAACAAATTTTCAAATTATCAAAATATGAAGTATTTAGTACGCTTTCACACCATCATTTATATCATCACGCACAAGAGAAGTGAGATGTTTTAGCACTAATCTTCAATGACATTCGTTATGTTTGATGTGAAGTTCAAATATATGTGTCGCAGCCCGATGGTTCAATTACCCGGTTAAATAGACGGTTAACTTTGTAAAACACCGGTGATATACTAAATGCCTTGTCTAGATAAATTACAATGAAACTTAAAACATTGAACATGGGCTTACCGATAGTTAGATTTTTTGTACCACCATTTTTGGTATTGTATGAGGTTTGGTATGAGGCATTGGTTTGGTATGAGGCATTTAAATTTAGCTTTTCACTGTGGCGAAACAGTTGTTTTACGAGATTCAGTAAAGGAGAACACAAATAAACGATACTACCATCATTTTTTGATATAAGCAAGCTGATTTTTTAAATATTATTATGATAATGATTTCTTCTATTTACGCGAATAAAACTCTTTATGTGTGGTAGAGTCACGTTGCAGCTATATTGTGGCCGTAGTACTAATGTTTCGGCTCTACCGGAGTAGGACCATATTATTACAGAATACCAGTGTAAAAAAGCGGCTGAATGCTGCTGTGTTTCATGTTGTAACACAGCAGCACTCACCCGCTATTAGCCGAGAACCGGAGACCCTTTTTCATAGAAATGAGGCATTCCATCTTAGTCTTTAGGGGTGACAATGCATCTGCATTGTGATTCTTAATCAAGGATAAATTTAGATGTCTATGGGTCACGGAATGCACTTACCATCTGGTGGATTGTTTGCTCGTTAGTCACCCTTATTCTATTTTGTAAAAACTAAATAAAGCTTATTTACGAATTTTATAGTCGTCATTTTGAACTTATATTAAATTCAGATGTTTCGAGTGCTTATTGTGACCAACTCTGTCTACAGTTACCTATGTAGTTCCTATTCAGATATATTAGATATCAATTATGTGCCAGAGTGTAACTGAAGGGCTAGCCGTCCAATAAGCCAGCTAATTAAACATCTGGCTGCAACACATATTCATCTCAACAAAACTTTTAAAAACTTAATTTGGCAGTCATTGTTTTTTCAGTTATCAACATTAGTAAAATACTTATCTATATAATAATAAATCTGTAGAAAAATGCGTGTTTGCGATTCACGGAAATGCTATTGGACGGATTTGCATAAAATTTTGTATGTAGGCAGTAAATGACCGTGTATAAAATATAGGAAACTTTTTATCCGCTAACAAAAGATTAAAAAATGGTTATGCTTTCTT